CCAAACTAAGCAGCATGGTTGCCCCTCCATATCAGCCAAGTAAAGAGCCCAACCTCAGGTCACTTGTCACTGGAGAGCCTGTGGACAGCTTAAGATATTTATTCAGGCTCCACAATAGAAACAGTCTAAACTGTAAGATCCAACATTTGGAACTTTGATTTTAGATCTTTTCTTTTACAGTCTGTATTCAGACTTGGCCTGGGCCAAATTCTGAAAAGAATGCATCAATACAGCCAAAGGAAGAAACATTGCAAGTGGTATTAGAATGAAGCCAGGCTTCTCTCAAAGGTGTATTTGAATCCTGGCCACTAGTAAAACCAGCAGTGCAGTTCAAGATGTCCCAATAACAAAAGCATCAAGCCATCTCTAATGGAGCTGTGCTGAAATGGCAGATGAAATGTAGAGTGCATGTAAAGGAATATCCTCTAATGTTCAAGTTGAAAGAGTTCAAAGATTTTTTTTATCAGAAAAGAGAAATTATAATCCTTTTGAAAAGTTAGATCTCTTTTGTTAAGATTAACTCAGTAATGAGTGTGTGTGTGTGTGTGTGTGTGTGTGTGTGTTGTTTTGCTTTTGGTTTTCTTGGGGAGTCAAGAGTATTTTCAGACAGGATCTCACTGAGCTGTCCTCAAACTCCAGATCTTCCGGGCTCAGCCCCCCAATTACTAGAATTAAAGGCATCCATGTCCAGCTGACAAAAACTTTTATTCTACAGTCTCAGACTTATTTTCAGTCTTTAGACTCATTGGCACCCTATTCATGATATTATGTAGGATCAGAACCTAGTAAGGTAGTATCCTAAAAACCTTCCAAAGTTGTGTCATCATGCCAATTAATCAGTGTTAACATTGCGGGGAAAATTCCTCTGAGTTAATTTAGGGTTTTGGTGTAGACAGGATAACCACTTTGCATACTAGCATTTTCAGCTTGGGTGTTTTGTTTTGAGGGTTTGCTTTTGGTTTTGCTTTTGTTTTTGTTTGTTTGTTTTGGTGTGAATCCTGGGGTTTGAACTCAGGGACTGGGTGCTATCTCTGAGCTTCTTTTTTGTTTGTTTGTTTTTCCCTCCAGTCTAATGCTCTACCACTTGATCCACAGCTTTACTTCCAGCCTTTTGGTTTGGAGGTAGGAGGCTCACAGACTTTACTACACAAATACTTTATTACACAGGCTGACTTTGAATCACAATCCTCAAATCTCAACCTCCTGAGTAGGATTATAAGCATGAGCCACCAGTGCCATCTTGCAATTTTAACTGTATAAACCCTACCGTCTTCTTTCAATAAGGTCTTTTTGAGACCCTACTTCTGTTAGTAAGGAATCTTTTTTTTTTTTGGTCAGTTGTAGAGCCTGAACTCTGGGCTGGGTGCTGTCCTTCAGTTCTTCAGCTCAAGGTGAAAGTTCTACCACTTCAGCCACAAAGCTACTTCAAGCTTTTTCTGCTTATGTGGTGCTGAGAAATCAAACCCAGGGCCTCATGCATGAGAGGCAAGCACTCTACCACTGAGCCACCTTCCCAGCCCATAAGGAGTCTTTTTCTACAGGGCTGACCACCCTGGCTTTCTCCTCATTCTGCTCTCACTGTTATTTCTGTTGCAGCAGAAGCAAAGCATCTGCATGCCCTCAGCACAAGCACAATCACTATACTGAGGCCACGACGATTGCTCATTCTCAAAGACCTGGGTAAAAATTAGTCCATAGAGAGGCCTTCATGGATGTGGGGATATGTGAATGGATCTCTTGATCTCATAGCTGGCCAACAGAGGCCTTCTGGGCAAGCCTGCCTGCCCTTGACACTGATCTTTTCTAGCTACATTCTCTCTACCCATAGTGAAACAAATACCAGATGTTCTTCAACTCACAATTGGACTCTGTCCAGATAAACTTATCAGAAATTGAAAACATAGTAGATTGAAATGCATTTAATCCAGATAACCTACCAAACATCTCGACACACAAGAGTCTCAGTTGGTTCCCCTTATAGTTACTTAGCCAAGAGAACTGTGGGTGGCCCACTGCCACTGCCTAGGCCTGTATACAGGCCTGTGGACTACAGGCCTAGGGAAAGATCTAGACTCAAAATTCAATGTAGTTTCTACATAGTACTTTTTGTACCATCGTAAATTAAAAACTGCCTGTATATTCAACCCTACCCAAAGATGTCATGATACTTTTAACCTTTCTAAATTCAGCATGAAGAAATGTAAATTTCAGGCTCATTCAGCTGTTTTTAAAGCAAGTAATAGTTATGGCTGTGGCATTTTAAGTCAGCTTCCTAATTTAATGAAGAAAAACACAGGAGTATAAAACTTTTCTGCCAATCTAATTCTGTCTCCTTGGGCTGGTGAGTCTTATTAATTTAGGACCAGAAGTCCTAAATTAGTATGACAAAAATGTGCATTTTCCCAGAAGTTAAAATGCTACTTTGCATAAGACAACTTTTCGCTTTGTAGTGAAGGCCACAGGGAAGTCCACACACCTGACAGCCCAGGTGCCCACAGAATGAAGGAATCTCTTGTTTTCCTTAGTGTGCAAATGCAAGCAGATAGAATGTACTGATCAAGAACAATGACCATCGTTTTGTTAAACCAATCAAAATGTTATTTGTATATCCTAATTTCTGGTCTCCAAGGTGTGTCCCCCTGTTCCCAGGTAAAAAGAAGATACAACTCTCCTATTTCTGTGTGTGTGTGTGCTCGCGTGCCCGTGCTTGTGTGCACACGCATGTGCTTATATTTGCATGCATGTGTGCCAATCCTGAGGTTTGAACTCCGGGCCTAGATCCTGTCTGTAGTTTTATTACTCAAGGCTGATGCTCTACCCTTGAGCCGCAGCTCAACTTCTAGTCTTTTGGTTATTAATTGGAGATAAGAGTCTCTCTGATTTGTCTGTCTGAGCTTTGGACCACAATCCTCAGATCTCAGACTCTTGGGTAGCTATGATTAGAGGTATAAGCCACTGGTGCCTAGCCTCTGCCCTGTCTTTTTCCACCAGCCTTTTACCAAGAGGCCTTTGAGCCCTATGCTGTTTGGCTTTCTTTTTTTTTTGTTTGTTTTCTGTGTTTTTACCCCCAATATTTTAGGAACCTCCCAATTTAAACAAGAATCCCAGATTCTCATGTTTGGAATTTAATTGTGTGTGTGCATATATACATATTTTTCCCATTGATTGTACCCATATCCACTCAGCCAGCAGAAGATAAATTTTCACTCACAAGAAAGAAATACTGCAGCCCCTTGAGCATGAACTTCCCTTTGTCATGGGACCCTGCATTCCTCTCTCCATTCCAGGCATAAATGATAGGCTAGAAATAAAATTGCTGCAACTCAGACACAGCATGAATCTGCAGATAGTGTCTGATGTTGAAGAATTTGGGCAGACAGTGGGTATGGACCATGACATTGATGGAAAGGAATAAAAACCACTAAGGAAGGTTATATTCAAACTCCACTTTCCCCTAACTCTGTCATTTTTAAAGGGTGATTTTTTTTACCAGATTCTATACAAGATAGTTTCTTGTCTTACAGCTTTTATAAGAGAAACAAAGACTTAAATAAGTATCACTTCCCTCCCAGCCCCCACACCCAGGATTTATGACCGCTTGCCCTTGGGCAAAGCATTTGTCAAAGATTTAAGGTATGGATGAAAAGGGTTCTTTAAAATGTCCAGCTGCTTTGCACTTGAGACCATAAAGCCTAACAAGCTCCCTGATGACCTTCACTAATGCTCAGTCTGATAAAGTCATGGTCACAATTGGAAGCAGCAAGCAGATTTTTGCTGACTTGACATTAAAAGTGACCAGCATTTTCTGGGTTTAGAGCTTAACCATAAAAGAACACATCCAGGTGTGTCTCAGCTCCATTAATTAAGGGTCTTGGAAGATGTTGAATATTATGTGAGTACTGAAATTTTCTTTTGACTTAAACACTCTTTGAATGGGTGTATGCTATCTGAAATGTTGTGGTTTATGAATTACCACTGGAAAGCATTCACCATTTTTTTCATGTTGTGTTTGACTATATAAAGACCCTGTGGCATGTATATAAACATTGAGTTTAAATTTGACATCTTGTTTCTTCTATAAGCCATGGCACTAGGGTTGAATTTTAAAGTCTGGAATCTATAAATGATGACCAGGAAGATATTCAGTTCTTTAGGAAATGACTAAAAGAAAGGTTGCTTTTTATACACCATGCCAGTTCCCATAATAACTACAGCATTTGACTCTCCAGGCAGAAAAAGGAACAAAGCAAGATTTTAGCTTCAACAGTCCCAAATTCTGAGGGACCTTCCAGCAGACCATGGAAGTTCTAGGCAGAGCACTGTGCTGCCCCTACAGCCCTCTTCCTAAACCTTGCCATCCATCATACTTCCTTTTCCTCTATGGCAGAAATAAAGCAAAGTCCCTTGACACCCAAAATATTTCAGGTTTTGGGGGTTTCCTTCTGTTTGTATAGATGTCTGGAGTCCAGGATGATTGAAACGCCATCTCTAAAACAACAGTGGAGGGTGGGCTGGAGTGGTAAAGTGTAGTTGTGGAGATGGGAGGGAAAGAATGGGAGGGGAAAAACAAAGGAAGAGACAACAATGCTTGATAAGAAACGTACTCATTACCTTGCTCATGTGATTGTAACTCCTCCTCTGTATAGTATTCTCACAATAAAAAACTTATTTAAAAAAAACAAACAAACACCACCAGTGGTGCAAAACAGCTACTGGTATATTACACCACTTTCCCTCCTAAAGCATCCGTGCTTTAACCAGTACCTAGTTACCAAGAACCAACCAACTCTCATTCTCAGTTGAATTCCTGGGTCTAATTCTGTGTAACCATGCAGCTGCCTTTGACCTGGATGTTTGCTCCTTAAGTCCCGATCCTGGTTGACAGAGTGCAGACTGCCTCCCCTTTCCTTTTTGGGTATGGCAGCCTGCTGGTGTTTCCTGTTTGCTCACTTGGCTTTCCTTCCCTTTCCTTCCTGGGGGGGGTGGCGATGGGCTGGCAGCACCGTGGTCCAGCAGACCAACTGCAGAGGCTCCGTGCTGTCCAGCAAGGGCAGCAGCAGCGGCAGCAGCAGCAGCAGCAGCAGCTCCTCTAGCGACTCAGAAAGCAGCTCTGGATCCGACTCTGAGACAGAGAGCAGCTCCAGCGAGAGTGAGGGCAGCAAGGCCCCCCACTTCTCCAGCCCTGAGGTAAGCCACGCTTCATCTCCCCAATGCCAGCAAGGTCCCAGTCCCAGTTCTCATCCTGTCTGCTCCCCACTTTCCCACAGACCTGGAAGCCTGTTAGATTGGGGGCTTACATTTTCCAGATCGTGTTCCCTCCTACCATTCTCCTTATGATACCACTTCCTTTGAAGTACAAAGCATCATCTTTCACGGTCTGAAAAATCTGTTTGACTTCTAGAAATTTCCACATATGCTGTAACATCACTAACAGGAAATAACCTCTGGACAGGGTCTCCCTCAGGGTCAGCTGAGGCAATAACGAGACAGGCAAGTTCCCCCCCCCCACGGAAGTGTGACCACTCATAAATCACAGGGAAAGGAGTTTTGTGCATTAGCCATGCTTAGAATCTTACCCTTTTTTTTCTCAAATTTGTCACGGATCAGACGAACAAGGGCTATAAATATTAATAAAACCTTCTTAACTGTGTTTTCTTTGAGAAAATATAAAAGGGAAAATTAGCATCTCTCTACAAATAATAATGAAACCTTTTACAGCCATGATCAGTATCTATTAGGATGATTTAGGTACCTCGTATAAACACATTACAAGGTACCAATAAAAACGATTGCTATTTCTACTCTAAAGTGGAAAAGGGGGGTTAAATAGTAAACAGAGCATGAGGATTCTTGGGTGAGGGCCCAGAGTAAACTTCTCTATCTGTGGAGCCATAACAGGAGGGCTTGGTTTCTAAAGAGGATAAAAAGAATAAGATACAGTTTCTTCCCTGAGAGTATAAACATTGGACATCCCCAGGGATTGTGGGGTTTGATTTTTTACCTACAACCTTCTGCACCATTCATGGGCCAAATTCGAATTGGGCTCTGATATGAAACCAAATCCTTCCTGCAAACCACAGCCAGGAGTTGGTGGCACCCCGTGAGCCTGAGCAACACCTATGTGCAGCTGTGTACCTGTGATTCAGACATAACATGTGTGAAAGTGACTGCTTGTCAAGTTTGCACAGTGGTTTTTTTTTGTTTTGTTTCGTTTTTGCTTTTTTTTTTTTATCGGTCGTGGGGCCTGAACTCTGGGCCTGGGTGCTGTCCCTCAGTTCTTCAGCTCAAGGCTAGCGCGCTACCACTTGAGCCACAGCGCCACTTACAGCTTTTTCTGCTTATGTGGTGCTGAGGAATTGAATGCAGGGCCTCATGCATGCAAGGCAAGCACCACTGAGCCACCTTCCCAGCCCCCTCACAGTGGGTTTTAAACTTTCACAGGTTTTTTTTTTATGTCCCTGCAGCTCTTCTTTTCTCTTCAGTACCTTTTCCACTCAGTGGAAATAATCTGAAATAAGACTTCTCTTCAGCATGTCTCTCTCTTCTACAAAGTTCCTGCCTCTCTATCTACCTAACTACCTGTCCCTATCAGTCTACATAGGATGTATGCCCTTAACATTAAAAGCCTTACCATTTATTTTGACCCTGGCTTTTCTTGGAAACTGAATTATTAGTCTTGCCTTCTCATGCACTCATTCATTCACTCATTCAATGTCCACTCTACAAATGCTTATTAGCCACAGACTCTGTTTGGCTTGAAGAAAATACTCTATCTTCATGGTGCTAACATTCTATTAGGCTCATTTAAAGTGGGAAAAATACATAAAATAGAACAAGTAGACAAGGTACCAGGCTTTCATAACACTGTAATTGGTTGAGCACCCAGAATATTTAGTTATAAGAAATAAGAGTCCCAGAGACACTGCAAGAGCAGGATTAGGGATGGATAAAAGGTGAGTATTTGAAAAGATTCCTGTGTCCAGGCTCTTCTTTGTGGTGTATTTGCAGGTTAAATTGGCCACTGTTGAATCTTATTTTCAAACTGCAAAGTGAATCCTAGAGCAGGGGACGTTGGCTAAGATCAGTCCAGTTACAAAGTACTTTGAATTCTTTCCAACAGTCACTGTGATCATCACAAAGCCCAGAGTTCTGGGGATGAGAGGCAGCTTTTTTCCATTTCTTCAACAGCTTTTAGGCATCTGGCTAAAGAAAGGGAGCACAAGTCTGCTAAAGGAGCTCAGGAAGTTAAGTTCCTGAGAGGTACATGATGTTTTCACTTTCTTGCTTCTCCATGCAGAAATGACATATTAACCATTCTTTACCTTATTCCTTTCTATTGAAAAGGGAAGCATTCATTATAATAAAAGTCAGATTCTTTTAAAGTTTTCCCCCAAGGTAAACACGTACAACATTCCCCATAAGAAGAAAATGTTTGCAGACTAAAAATCACAAAGTTAAAAGGCAGCAAGACTGCTCATCCTTCATACCTCTGTGCATCACGCTGACACAGCTGGCCCAGGTTGCCTTACAGAGTAGGGAAACCAGTGTTTCAGAATGCCACGTAGAAGCTGGCTCCTAACCATCACACACCTCACATTCTACTATTCTGATTGGGTTGTACTGACTTGAAGCAAAATGCTCCTGACCTTCACATCTCCTCCAGAGCCTCCTGTCATGGAAGTAGAAGGAGACACCTATAATGTTCCAAGACACCTGGGTTTTCTCTTCACTGTTCACAGCTTCATATGAACTGATCTTTGTGGCTAAGATTGGTGAAAAGCACTTTATTTTACATGAGTCACTAGAGTATGGTAAAGCCACTTTTACAAGCTGACAGGGCAGAGCCTCTGTCAACATTTGTATGCCTGTGAGTACTCATTCTAGAGCCCGCTATGTATTGTGTTGTTCTTAGCCTCTTTTTTTTCTCACTTAAATGTTTGGATTTGGGGGGAGGGAGGACAAGGGTTTAACCTCAGAGCTTCAAGCTTGGTCAGTTTACTAGCTTGACTGACACACTACTACTTGAGTCACACCTCCAGCACAGCTTTTTGCTTATTAATTTGAAGATGGAAGTCTGGGGGACTTTTCTTCCCAGGCAGACTTCAAATCACAATCATGCAGATTTCAGCCTCCTCAATAACTAGGATTTTAGCCATGAGCAACCAAAGCCTGGCTCACTTAGGTTTTGTCTCGGAACATTTCCTAGCATTGTGAGCCCTCATACTTCCCCAGGGCAAGCTGCTTTCCCATACAGCTGGAAAACCGACACCAGACATGGGTTTCCCTTACCCAGAACTAAACTGTCCAGGTCAAAGAGAAAGAGAGGAAACATACTGACTTCCTACCTGCCTGGTCACATCTAGGATAAAATAGATGGACCCCATTTCTTTACACAGGACATCCCCTAGCCCTCATACTGTTTGTATAAACTACATTTTCCATTGCAGCATTTCCCAAGTGGATTGACCATGGCAAACTTCCTCCATTGAATATATTAACTGAAAGCACATTTTAGAAAATGCTGCACCATATCATCCTTAAAAATCAGCATAAGTGTAGGACACATCTCTTGTTGGTGCAGTAGACCTTGAAGGCTCATGACATGGGGTTTGGTGAGGATCTCAGTGAAGCTGGTGACATGAGGAGAGTTTCTGGGTGAATCAGAGGGAAGATTAATCAGGAAGGAGTTGTGATAGAGTATATAAAGTAGCAAGCCAGAAAACCAATAAAAAAACCACTGGGCAGAATCCCAGGATGTGGGACTCAGAATATGGGACATTGTCAGTGCATGCTGGTAAGCTAAGGGCTAATACTTTGAGTTTTCCTTCTGCGATATAACTTGGCCATTATCTCAGCTTCCCTGGCCAAAATTGCCTGCTGAATGGTAGATATTGCTATCCTGCTTAATCAGTGAGGAACAAATGTGTTTGAGTGACAGATCATTCATCATAAGCAGAGGTAGAACAATTGACCTCACAGACCTAGTATGAAACATCAAGGGAATAAGAAAGAAAGAGACTTGGCCCTAGTTTAAAAGACGAGTAGGACTTTGTTGAAGACATAAGACATATATATGAATCTAAAACAAACATTAACAGACAACACTGTGCCCACAGGTGATGGCACACACCTGTCACCCCAAGGCTGAGGCAGAAAGATCATGAGTTTTAAGTCAGCCTAGGCCACACAGCTAGACCCTATCTCATATAAAACAAAATAAACAACAAAAAAGTGTGTGCTTCTCAAGTGTTAATACGGGTAGACACACTGTTTGGAGGGTTAGTTGTGTTATCTATGAAGATTAGATCTAATGCCATCATTTTAGCCAGAGGACTGTGCTAAGACTAATTACCTGAAAGGAAAAAGAAGGCAGGTTTATTTTGCTTCCTACTTCAGGGGCTTCCGTTACTCATGGCAGGGATGGGGTGGCCAAGCAGGGCAACTCACATCATGATGTCCAGAGAGAATTGCCTGTGCTCACAGGCTTTCTCCCTTTTCCCTGTTTATTCCCTCTAGGACCTCAGCTTACAGGATGATGCACATTCTAAACAGTTTTCCACTCTTAGTTAATCCTCTCTGGAAATATTCTCACAGATACACCCAGAGGTATGCTTTACCAGTCCCCTAGGTGCCTCTCCATCCACTCAGGTAGACAGTCAAAAACAGCCGGGCCTACAATTCTTATTGCTCAGGAGGCTGAGATATGATTATCACAGTTCAAAGCCAGCCTGAGCAGAGCAGGAAAGCCCATGAGACTCTTATCTCCAGTTAACTACCAAAAAATCCAGAAGTGGAGCTCAAGTGATAGAATGTTAGCCTTGAGTAAAAATGCTTAGAGACAGTGCCCAGGCCCTGAGTTCAAGTCCCAGTATCAGCTCTAACACACACACACACACAAAATTAACCATAGCAAAAACTGACATTTCTCAAAGGAATTAGGTATCCTTTCATGAAGCAACACAAAACAATAGAGAGAGATCAAAGGAGACAACAGGGCAGAAGATTTGGTCTATATACCTAAGGAAGTATGAGTGTAGTCTTTGTGAAGCCTGGGTCCTGTGTAGATTTGGATATATCACTTAACCTCTCTGAACTTCATCTACACATTAGGGAAGATAACATTCCTTATCTCTAAAAGTTAGATAATATATGTAAAATTGGAGGCATATTATACGTGTTCAGACAATGAAAAATGGTTACATGGGAATTTGGATTTCGTTTGCGAGACAACAGGAGATGGTTGTAGATCCTTGAGAAAGGGCATGTGATTTAGTGACGTGTTAAAAATGGCACTTCAGTCTGATTTCTTCAGCCATGAAGTGCAGAAAAAAAGGTGACCCTAGATCACATCAGGCAATGTCCCCATCCTAAATGTATTTAAGTTCTGCTGTTCACTGTTGATGCTCCCACCAGCAAGTTTCTATGTGATTTTCCCTGTATTCAGTTGTGCTTTGGCTATGACTTCCATTTCTCTGACATAAGAGACAGGAGATGTGGAAGGCTTGGGATGGAAGAGAGCTGTATGGCAGAGAAGATGGGTGCTGCTCTGGTTTGTGAGCCTTATCCCAGTGCATGCCCCCTTCTACATGTCTCTTTCCCTACAGGCCTGTATACCACATCCCAAAGGCACTGCCTCACTCATACTATCATAGGGATGAAAATGAGAATGGGAGGACAAAATTGGAAGCTGCAGAATGTTTGCCACCAAATCATCTTTCAGCTGATAACCTCAGGAGGTGTCCCTGGGCAAGAACTATTCTGTGTCCCACTACCCTGCTTGCCACCAGATGCAGTCTGCCCCTGCAGACCTCACCATTTATGCTCTGTAAGGTCCCTGTCTTCCCTTTCTCTGAAGAATTATATCTTTCAACTCAGCAGCTCACAAAAAAAGACAGATTAAGCAGCCCTAATCAAATCTGAAGTGCCCCAAATCTGAAACTTGGTTGACATGAAGCCAGCAGCAGAAAATCCCACACCATGATACTTTGTTTCAACTACTAACAATATTATCTAAAATTATCTCAGGCTATATGATTAAAGTGAATATAAGCCACATCAAGATAGATAGATAGGTAGGTAGGTAGGTAGATAGATAGATAGATAGATAGATAGATAGGTAGGTAGGTAGGTAGATAGATAGATAGATAGGATAGATCCATTGATAAAGATGTAGAATCCAAAATAATAATAAAAATAAGTCTAAAATCCAAAACATTTCTAGTCCCAAGCATTACAGATAAGGGAAACTGAAGAGGTACATCTTTTGTTTTTGGCATTCTATTCTGAAGCCCTGTGTTTTTTTTTCGTTGTTCCAGTTTTTTTGGTAGCATGAATACAAACTTAAGAAAAAGTCAAGGGGGCCCAAGGATGTCATCATTCCTCCCGCTGTGTTCCAGAATGAATCTTTCAAATCCATATTGTGTGAGTGGAAGAGCTGAGGGACAGTGCCCAGGCCCAGAGTTTAAACCCCATGACCAACCAAAAAAATAAAATCCATATTGTGGTCTTCATTGTACTTTCTTTTTTTCTGTCACAGAGTGTCACTGGACACTCCAAGTAGCTTTTCCCTGCAGTATAGTCTCATCTATTGGGAGCCACAGGCAGGGTGTCCATGGTCTCCACCACAGTTCTGATTGTCTTGCATCCACGCATTATGGCCAGTTCCACATATCTCTGCCCTCTCTGGCCCAACAGAAGCTTCCCATCCCCTGAGCCATACCTTACGCCATCCCTACTCACGTAGGTTCAGCCAGGACCCTAATATCTCAGGCACAGCAACTCCCTTACCCCTCTTGGATCTGTGACTACACCCAAAGCCCAAAGCTTTACACATAACACGGACTTCACTGTTGAAAAACATTTTTTTTTTGTCAGTCATGGGGCTTGAACTCTGGGCCTGGGCACTGTCCCTCAGCTCTTCATCTCAAGGTAAGCGCTCTACCACTTGAGCCACAGTGCCACTTCTGGTTTTCTGAGTGGTTTATTGGAGATAAGAGTCATGGACTTTCCTGCCCAGGCTGGCTTTGAACCTCAATCCTCAGAACTCAGCCTCCTGAGTAGCTAGAATTACAGGCGTGAGCCACCGGCACCCAGCAAAAAACAAATCTTGAACCATCAAAGGTAGCTTTTGGAATTTCTTATGTTTAAAATTTTTTTTCTCCTACCACATGAGTTGACTGTCTCCAGTTCTAGACTTGAACTGATCAAGTCTGAAATAGAAATCTAAGGAGATGGGGCTGTTACTCAGCTGTGTATTGATTACAAGAAGTTTGATCCTAAGCACACACATTATCAGCCCCCCAGCCCCAAAGGCTTGGCTTACCAAGCCTTCTTGTTCTAGGCTGGTATCTGACCTACCCCTGAAAGTTGGAGGCAGAGAAGAAGGAGGCATGCAGAAGGAAAGTTTCTCCCCTGGATCCCTCCAAATGACTTCTCATCTCAGTTATGGTCACTAATTGAAAATACTCTGGCTAAAGTTTTCCACCTCCCAGTGTACCTCTTACCTACTAATAATCCTAATGGTAGAGAAATGGACTTAAAATGGACTTTTTTTAGGAAGCAGTATGTAGTCCCTGTAAAAGGTTCTAACCTGTTCCTTGAACATAAATCCTCAGAGTCAACTCAGAACTATGGACTTTGCCCAGAAGTTCACATCTCTACAACATTGCTATTGCTTCAGGGCATTCAGTGTCCCCTCACCCAACTAATGTATGGACCAGAGTTTAAAACCAATGACATCCATAATTTGCTCTAAGTTAGCAAAACTACCTGCAGGAAAGCTTTCCATCATCACCTCTGTCAACGTGTGACAGAAGCAGGTTGACTAACCAGGTCATGCTACCAAAGTGTACAGAGCACCCCAAGTCCCCTGAAACAGAGATTCTCTGCCAAATGAGCCCTCTTTCCAAAGTTTTGCTTCTGCTGCTAAATTCCCTGCGTCCTCTACGTACCATCTCCACATGAGTTATTCTTTGAGATCAGAGATGCTTGGATTTCCCGTTTTTAATCTTACCACAAGTAAATAAATTCCAAGTACTGATGGCTCATGCCTATTTTCCTAGCTACTCAGAAGGCTAAGATCTGGAGGATCAAGGTTGAAGGCCAGCTAGGGCAGAAGAAGTCTGCAAGACTCTGTCTCCAAAATAACCAGCAAAAAAGCAGGACTTGAGCATAGCTCAAGTGGTGGAGCACCAGCTTAGCTAGTTCAAACTATAGTACTGTCAAAGTAAATAAGTAAATGAGTGCTTTAAGGCTGTGTGCCTCCAGGGTATTATTCCTCAGTTCCATGGAATGTCAAATCTATTCAGGTATGTATAGTTATAAATATACATTGTGTATCTGTATTGTGTAGCACTCAGAAGTGGGGTTCTGCTGAAACAGTGCTGTCCTTTATTTTTGTCAACTGGACTTGGAAGTGGTATGCTGGCATTGTACCACATCTGGTAAAACAGCACCCTCCTGGCATCCTGAAAGCCAGAGGAGGGCTGGCACACATACACATAGCTTCCATTTCCCATTTCCTTGCAGCTCCATATGTTTTACTCATATACCCAGAGGAGATATGTCAAGATAAACATAAGGCAGGCCCCTTTTAAGTGAGTCTATAATAAAAGATGTTTTGTATGTGATTGGTCTTCTGCTTTCAGGCCGAACCAGCATCCTCTAACAAGTGGCAGCTGGATAAATGGCTAAACAAAGTTAATCCCCACAAGCCTCCCATTCTGATCCAAAATGAAAGCCAAGGGCCAGAGAGCAATCAATACTACACCCCGGTAAAAGATGATGTGCAGGACTGTGGGAAACTAACTGACATTTGCCAAACCAGCCTGAGAGAAAAGGAAGTCAAGACTGCCTGCAAGGAGGAGCAGAGGCCAAGGACAGCCAACAAGGGCCCAGGGAGCAAAGGGGTGAAACAGAAGTCCCCACCCGCGGCTGTGGCTGTGGCTGTGGCAGTGACCACTGCCGCCCCGCCATCCACGGTGCCCAGCATACCTGTGGAGAACGCACCCGCGCCCACCCGGAGATCTGCGGGCAAGAAGCCCACCAGGCGCACAGAACGGACCTCTGCAGGGGACAGTGCCAACTGCCACCGGTCAGAGGAGCCTACGGGCACAGACACCCTGGGGGCCAGTGTGGTGGCTCCCCCAGAACCTGCCAAAACCAAGCCCTGTGGCAACACCAGAACGAGCCACCGCAAGGAGCTACGCTCCTCCGTGGCCTGTGAGAAGCGGCGCACCCGGGGACTGAGCAGGATTGTCCCCAAATCCAAGGAGTTTATTGAGACCGAGTCTTCTTCCTCATCTTCCTCCTCTGACTCGGACCTGGAGTCCGAGCAGGAGGAGTATCCTCTAGCCAAAGCGCAGCCGGTGGCCACTGCTGCCACCTCGGGGAGTGACCAGAGACTGAAGGAGACTGCCAGCAGCATCAGCACTGGCAGTGGCCCCCGGGCTCCCGTAGGCTCCATCAACGCCAGGACTACCAGTGACATCGCCAAGGAGCTGGAGGAGCAGTTCTACACTCTGGTCCCCTTCGGCCGCAACGAACTTCTCTCACCACTGAAGGACAGTGATGAGGTCAGGTCTCTTTGGGTCAAAATTGATTTGACTCTCCTGTCCAGGATACCAGAACACCTTCCCCAGGAACCAGGGATCTTGAGTGCTCCAGCGGCCAAAGACACTGAGAGTGCACCACCCAGCCACACACTAGACACTCAGGCAGAAAAGGCTTTGCCAAAATCCAAGAGGAAACGCAAGGTAAGCCTAGGGCAGAGGGCCAGGGCGTGGGGAATTTCTTTAACTTGAGGGCAAGATGGGCTACTGGTCTGGACTGTGGTCGACTGCAGGTGTTTTGTGTCTTTAAACAATTACATACTACTTTATATATGCAGAAACTGTTGGAAGTGCTTAACAGACATAATCTCAGGTAAATCCTTAGGACAGCCCAATGAGGCAAGTGGCATTGCTCTCGTTTTATTCTAAATGTGCGCAAGTCGCAAAACATATTTATCGAGTGTGTATGGATAGATACAGGCTGAAAGCTTGAGTATGTGAGAAGGCTGATGTATGGTGAGTATTCTTTCTGGAAGGGGAGAGGACCATTCATCTACCTAAGAAGTCAATGGGGTTTAAGGCTGTTACTGGGGTGGACAATAAATACTGGATTCTCTGAGGCTGGAACCAGCCTGTGGTATCAGAAGTTGCTTCCAGTAGTGTTGATCTAGGAGGCCTTCAAGGTGAAGAAGGGCTATGAACAGAGCTCTGAGGACATAGGACATTTGTGTAAGCAGAGGCCTGAAATGTTGCATTAAGGTGTCAGCCTAGGGCTGGGACGGTGGCTTAGTGATAGAGTGCTTACCTAAAATGCATGAAGCCCTGGGTTCAATTCCTCAGTACCACATACACAGAAAAACCCAGAAGTGGTGCTGTGGCTCAAGTGGTAGAGTGCTAGCCTTAAGCAAAAAGAAGCTCAAGACAGTGCCCAGGCCCTGAGTTCAAGTCCCAGGACTAGCAAAAGGAAGAGAAATAAAAGATGTCAGCCTAAGGATCTAAGGATTATGTGGTTTCCAAAGGGCAATCTGATCCGTCAATAGATAAATAAGACTGCCTACATGAGATTGATACCTATTTAGAATCCTTGATTAAGAGCAAGTAGAGAGTAGGGTTTTTCCTAGCCAAAATGAAAGTATTCCTCATCTTTGGAAGTGTGTATGGGGAAGGCATGCAGTCATACTCACGGCATAAAAGTGATTCATCAGCAGAGAAACTTACAAGACTCTTCATCTGTAAAATGGTGTGGTGTCATGTTCATTCAGTAAAACAATACAATTCAAAAATACAACTAGTTCACTTCTTCCTTGCTCCTCTTTCCTTCTGTTTCCCAGTCAGTATTCTGCTTTTCTTGTTACCTGTTGGTGCTCAGTTTCTGTTGAATCAATTAGCCGGTTAGTCATGTAGAAGTGAGTATAGATATTACCCTCTCCCTGAGGGAGAGATGGACAGGCTGATAAAAATACATAAGTTAGAGATATATAAGAACTATACTAAGGTAAATAATACACATTGGTAGATTGGAAATATGTATCACTATAAAGATATACTTAAGTACCATAGATACATGTATAGATATATAGAGGGAAAGATGTACAGAGAGACAAACATGTAAAGTTCATAATATTCTATATTGAAATGGTTGTATTTTTCTTTATTTTCTGGCACTGGGGCTGAAACTCAGGGCCTCATGCTCTTGCTTAGCTTTTGTGCTCAAGGGTGGTGCTCTACCATTTGAGCCACACCTCTACTTCCAGCTTTTGGCTTACTAATTGGAGATTAGGAGTCTCTCAGGTTTATCTGCCCAGGCTATCTTCAAACCACAATTCTCAAATCGCAGCCTTCTGAGTAGCTAAGGTTATACCAGCATCCAGAGATTTTTTTTTTCTATTTCTATTTCTTTTTCTTTCTTTCTTTTTATTTTCATTATGAAATGTCATCTACACTGTGTGACACTGCTCTACTCAAGAAACTGGACAAATTATCAGTAAACACAAACATAGAAAAGTGAAAATACATTTTTCACAATGCTTTTTACTCAGTATCCTGGCATTAAGACCTCAATGCTAAATCCTGGAGTTGAGACACTTGATTTGGCTGCCAGAGGTGCCAGGTCTCACTGAGAACCAAAGAGTTTCGTTTAGACTATTCATAGACTGTTCATATTACAGTGTGAGCATCTGGAGTCTTCAGTGGCAGAGTGATAGTCTCATTGTGCTAAAAAGAAAAGGTCAGAGTCTCTCTGTCTCACTGTCTCCTGGAAAATACCACACATAGCCCTGAGGACCCACACAAGACTGACTCCTACCTCTCTTCCAGGAAGTGGTATTTTGTGGTATGATTTGTATTACAGTCTAATCTAGTCTAAAATTAAACATAGAGGCAATAAGAATCCAATCTAGGTCTTATACAAAGGTACTTTCAGAATTCTAAGAAGACACAGGAACTGGGAACTAGAATTAGGACACAAAATAATAATAATGTCTGCTTGCTATTCACAAAAGGCGTGATTTTCAAAGCAAAAAGGTCTAGGCCTGTCACCACTCTTACCCTAATAAAAACAGAGAACACACACCTCTTTATCCTTTACTCTAATATCAAGAAGTGCCAGGACAAGTGACACTGAAGCTACAGTGTGAATTCAGAACACTTTTTTTGGAAGGCTAAATTCTAAGCAGCTTTCATAATTCAAAATGTTCCCTTCCAAATTTTGATCTTGACATCATGCCTTTCCTCTCAAAAAGCTGTGGATAGAGATGGGCATCAGTGACTCACTCCTGTAATCATAGCTACTCAGGAGGCTGAGAGCTAAGGCTTGCAGTTCAAAGCCAGCCCAGGCAGGAAAGTCTGAGAGACTCCTAGTCCCAACTAACCATCAAAAAGCCGCAAGTGAAGCTGTGACTCAAGTGGTAGAATGCCAGCCTTGAGCTGAAGAGCTGAGGGACAGTGCCCAGTCCCAGAGTTCAAGCCTCACGACTGACAAAAATAAAAAGCTCAGGGACAGTGCCAGGTCCTGAGTTTAAGCCCCAAGACCAGCACAAAATAAAATAAAACAAAATTAAATAAATAAAGCTGTGGATAGTAAGCCCCACAGATTCCTCCTTGTTTGTGGAGGAGATGCCTTGGGGGCCTATGCCAAAGGCTTGGATGCTCAGCCCGTTCTCCAGGATGCCAGGTAAGCAGATCTCCCCAGAGCCCTTGTTCTGTCACAGTATCCTAGAGCTCACTTTGACCACTCCAGGTCCAAAACTGATTTGGCTTTTGCTGATTCCTATGCAGTGTGACAACGAAGATGACTACAGGGAGATGAAGAAGGTCCAGGGAGAAAAAGATAGCTGTTTGAGACTGGCTGCATCTGCCAACAATACCTTGTCTGTGAACCACTGCAATATGAACATCAGTAGGTAAGCTGTGCCCTGGCAGGTGGAAGTAAGCCAGAGGGGTCTATGGATCTTAAGTTCTTGGTTTAACTGAAGGCTTATAATTCTGGCTGGACATAAGCCTCTGGCTACACCCCAGTAGCTATGTCAGGCTCTTCTCTGTAACCAAGACCTGTTTTCAAGTATGACAAGTTCTGCATTTCCCAAAAATAGCTCCCTTCCCCCAAAACTTAATAAATGAATTTGTAAGCCCATATTTTAATGAGCTTAATAATATTAAGCTTACTATAAGGATGAGGAAATAGCCACTTACTAGTGACATCTGCAGGTGAGGCACCTACGGCTGTTGGATGTAAACTAAAATTGTGGAGGTAAGAAGGATATGTGCTTCCAAGGTCAAATAGCCACCCAGTTGATCCTGTAAAGGAGTTACAAATAGCCCTACCATGCACCAACCTCTTCTGTAATAAATGACTCTCCAGCAAGGCAAGGTCCCAGGTATTCGTTAAAGCAAGGAGCTTAGCATCACTCATACAGACTTTTCCATTTAGAAACACCTTAGCACAGACCCACTTCTCCTCAGCGGTGACACTCCTCACTCTTCCTGACTGTACACAAAGGTTCTTAAGGGGAGATTAATGTTTCAGCAAAACACATAAAGACATAAACTGAAAGGTTAGGGAAAGATGGAGAGCAGTACTAAAACTCAGAGAGAAAATTGGAGAGCTAAGGAGCACATAGGCCTGCTGCAGTGTCAGGATCACCTTGGGAAGGCAGCCAGGATGCTGAAGGAGTAAGCAAGAGGGAGTTGTGCACACAGGCACAGAGACAGCCTATCAGTCCTCTGTGTGGAAAGAATGGTGTCCCCAGAGACTTAGGAAGATGGGAATACTTTCTTAATTTTTATTTCATTTTATTTTATTTTTTGCCAGTCCTAGGGCTTGAACTCAGAGCCTAGGCACTGTCCCTAAGCTTTTTTTGCTCAAGGCTAGTGCTCTACCACTTGAGCCACAGTGCCATTTCTGACTTTTTCTGAGGGATTAAACCCTGGGCTTCATGCATACTAGGCAAGCACTCTACCAGCAAGCCACATTCCTAGCCCCTTAATAAGAGTTTATCAATAAGCTCTTCATTTGTGCATTAAATAACCTTTCTAGCCATTCTAGGGACAACCATAATCATTGAAGAGTAATGAAAGTAAGTGATACTTCAAGATGTTTGTGACAACTATAATATGACACTAAAACACCTGTGATTTCTACTGAGACACAATAATAGGTATTGCTGTTTGGGCTCCGGCTTAAACTCCTTTGGTTTCTTGCCCTCACTTGTAATGAAGGAAATAATTCTGTTTCAGAGACAGGTTGGTGAACATGTAGATGTAACTTTTGCTGAACAAAATCCTGGACCTAACTGTTGTAGAGACTCTACCTGGCAGAGTAGCATATATGCGATAGTTTCACATATGTTAAGTAATGACACAATGCATAGGAAAGTGCATAGAGTTATTATGGGAAAGGTGATCTGAATACATCTGGAATTGTGATTACTACTATCAGGTTTTACCAGTAAATAAAACAATCATAGCCTAGGTAATGGATCACCCATCCCAGAGAGGAGATTTGCAGTACTGAAGAATAGTTCCATGTCCATGACTATATTTAATGCCGTAATTTGTTTTTCCATGCACATATAAAGTAATACACACTTAGGAACAGATCTTTTTCACTGACATTTCAAGAAATGATTGTATTCAGGCTCATCATATCCATCTTCAACATCAGCACCAATGAGCTACTTTTTATTCATCCAGAGCAGTTTTCTGAAGCACATCTTCTCATTTCATTCTGAGGACATTTGTTGGACATCCTCTGCTTTTGGAGCCAGAAAACCTGTATGTATTTGCATACATTAAGAATTTGGCTTTACCATTTGAAATAATGGCCTAAATCACACATGGAAAAACCATAAGACTTCATCCTGACCAGTGGCTGAGCATGGGGGACAGGGAATGAGCTTGTCATTCTGATGATGTGAAGAGTTACAAATAGGAGGATCAAAGTTCACATATGAAGCAAGACCTTATTTCAAAAATAACATAAAGGAGAACTGGGGGGTACAGCTCAACAATAGACCACCTGCTTAGCAAGTGCAAGGCCCTGAGTATAAACTCTGGTACCACCAAAAGAAGGAAGGGAAGGAAAGCTTGTTCATCATTGTTGATTAACTTTCCTATTACTTGTCACTCACATTTGAACCAAGTTCGTTGATCACTTTGAGATCCTTGGATGAAAAATGAAACATGAATTACTATGCTAAGTCACTTGTTTTATCACAAACTCTAGAATTACTATGCATCCTGACATGGGAGTAAAGAAACAATGAGTGATGCTTTTTAATGGTCTTAATTCTTCCTACCAGCAGGTTTTTAATGGGAGGTATGGAGCATATGTAAAACATTCGCTTCTCCCTGTGCCTACTATGTTAACATTCTATCACTGTAATTTCTTCCTTTCAGTGTGGCAATACCAATAAATAAAAATGAAAAAATGCTCCGGTCACCTGTCTCGCCCCTCTCTGATGTATCCAAACACAAATATTCCAGCGAGGACTTAACTTCTTCCAGTCGACCTCATGGCAACAGTGTCTTCACTTCTGCCTCTTCCAACAAAAAGCCTAAGGCTGACAGCCATGCCGGAGACCTTACGGTTGGTTGATGCCCTTTCTTTCCCAGGAAAATCAAAGTAAAACTGCACCTTCCTCACGCCCTACCCACATACACTTCGCCTCTAGCCTGCACAGTCTATACTCCTGATGGAGGGAGGCCCACAGAGAATCTCTGAAGACAACTTTTGGAGAGACACAGCAGTACCAAAGACAGCTTCGCCCTCCCCCACTGGATCTCCAGCACTGTAGATTAATCTACTAAGTTTCAATTTCCCAATCTGTAAGAGTGAACATAATAAGACTTCTTTGATATTCTTGTGAGAATAACATCTGATAACAAGATGTATCACTCCTCATCTTAAGATCTAGAAGGCACATACAAGTGGAGCATCCCCAATTCAAAATGCTCCAAAGTCTAAAACTTGTTGATCACTGACATGATGCCACTGTAGAAAATTCCACACCTGACCTCATGTGGCAGGTCATCATCAAAAAGGAAAAACTAGGGTGGGCATGGTGTCACATATCTATAACCCTATTCAGAGGGTAGAAAGCTGAGATTTTAGAGTTCAAGGCCAACCCCGGCAAAAAGTTAGCAAGATACTATTTCAATCAGTAATACACGTGCAACACGTGCAGTGGTTACAAGGGAGGCAGAAAGGAGGATTCTATTCCAAGGTGCATCTCAAGCAAAAAAAAAAAAAAAAGGAAGAGACTCTATCTGAAGACAAAAACAAAAGCATAAAGCATAAAATAATGAATGTGGCCAGGTGTGGTGGCTCATGCCTGTAATCCTAGCTACTCAGGAGACTGAGATCTGAGGATCATGGTTCAAAGCCACCCTGGCCAAGAAAGTCCATGAGACTCTTATCTCCAGCTAACCATTCAGAAAACCTGAAGTGGTGCTGTGGCTCAAGTGGTAGAACACTAGCCTTGAGATGAAGAGCTGAGGGACAGTGCCCAGGCCCAGAGTTCAAGCCTCACAACCAACCCCCCCCAACAAAAAGTAATGAATGTGTGGCTCTAGTGTTAAGGTGCTTGCCTGGCAAGTGTGAAGCCTTGAATTCAAACCCCAATACTACCTTTTTTTAATTGCTCAGCTGGGCGCCGGTGGCTCATGCCTGTAATCCTAGCTACTCAGGAGGCTAAGATCTGAGGATCTCTGTTCAAAGCCAGCCTGGGCAGGAAAGTCCATGAAACTCTTATCTCCAATAAACCACCAGAAAACCAGAAGTGGCGCTGTAGCTCAAGTGGTAAAGTGCTAGCCTTGAGCTGAAGAGCTGAGGGACAGCACTCAGGCCCAGAGTTCAAGCCCCACAACTGACAAAAAAGAAGAAAAAAAATCACTCAAAGAGTTGTATAAAATTGGCATCAGAGCTAGGCACCAGTAGCTAGCACCCATAATCTTAGCTACTCAGGAGGCTGAGATCTGAAGATAGCAGTTCATTGCCAGCCCAAACAGGAAAATCATGATATTCCTATCTCCTGTTAACCACCAAAAAGCCAGAATTTGAGCTGTGGCTCAAATGGTAGAGCACTAGCCTTGAGCACAAAAGCTCAGAGACAGCACCTGGGCTCTGAGTTCAAGCCTCAGGTCCAGCACACAAAAAAATTTGCCATGAGATAATATATGTAACTTGTATATAAAACACAAATCAAATTTATATTTAGAGTTTGGTCCTATCCCCAATGTATCCTACTTTTTTATGTGCACATATTCTGAAATCTGAAAAAAAAATCCCAAATCTAAATATTTCTTCTCCCCAACATTTTAGATAAGGGATATTGGACCTATATATTATTTTTTCTTCACTGGGAAATTGCTACCCGTCCTAACATAGAACATGAAGACATTCTGTTGAAAAAAAAAGTGTTCTGTTTAATTAGTTGCTCTTTCAGCCACTGTGTAAAAGATTCCTGTGTTATTTATTGTTTAGAAAGCTGCTCACAATTCTGAAAATGGTCTCCACAGTAAGTCACGGCCACAAACAGAGCCATGGTCTCCAGGTTCCAATGGCCACAAAGACTGCAAGAGACAGAAACTGGTCTTCGATGACATGTAAGTTTGGATTTTTCTAATGCAGTAAGGAGGGAAAGCAAATGGAAGTTCTTGGTAGGGGGGGCATATGCATCTTATTTACCATGTGGCCATTCTCTCTTGCATGACTTGGTCATTTAATTGTCCCTCTCAGAGGAAGCCCTAGCATGCAGATATTGCCGAGTCCTGGTAAGGTTTTTAAACATATAGAAGAAACAGTGCTCATAAGTTGGCATACAGCCATCAGAAAGCTGAGGCAAAGGGCATAGTGAGATTTCCAAACACTTCTATTGCAGCCTGTTGGTGATTTTATGCTATCAGAAAGAGGAGTTATTTTTGCTTTGTAAATTATAATGGCCAAAAAAATAATAGTGATTTACTCCCTAAAGGCGTTTTCCTCCACAATGGCTATATTCTTTATAATAGTCTAAGTGATCCTTATAGGGGAAACAGTATTCTGTCATCCTTCACACAGTTCTAGCAATAAAGCTGGAATTCAGTTTCCATTCCCAGCATCAGTTCAAACATAGGAGAAACAAGAGTAGAATGTAAATAAAAAGAACATCCTGGAATACTCTTGAGAGGCTGAAAATGACAAATGAAAAATGATTTTAAAATGATAACAAAAATTAATCTCTTAAGAAAAAATGGGTATTGAGAACAAAATAGAAGTCAAAAGATAAGGTTCCAAGCATTCAGCTTAACAGCCAGGTCTGGTGACTATGTGTAACCCCAGCTACTAGGAGGCTGAGATTGGGAAGATATCAATTTAAGGCTAGCATGAGCAATAATTTCACGAGACCCTTACATCACCCAATAGCGGGGTGTAGTACCACAAGCCTGTCATCTAAGCTGTGCTGGAAATGTAAATATGCTTGTGGTCCAAGCAGGCCCAAGCAAACATGAAAGTCCATTTGAGGGAAGGGATAATGGGACAACAACAAAGGAAGGGGTAACAATGATCGACAAGTAATGTACTCATTGCCTTACTCATGTAACTGTAACCCCTCTGTATAGCATCTTTACAATAAAAGGAAATAATGACAGCAAAAAGAACTATGGGCATAACTCAAGTAGTAGTATACCTGGCAAGTGCAAGACCCTGTGTTCAGCTTCTAGGACTCCCACCACCACCAAATACATACATACATACATACATCATAAATAACTGTCTGGGCAACAGTGGTTCACACCTATAATCCTAGCTCTTCAAGAGCTCTGAGATCTGGGGGGAATGGTAGCTTGAAGCCAGCCTGGCAGAAAAGTTCATGAGACTCTTATATCCAACTAACCAGAATAAAGCTGGAAGTAGAGGTGTGGCTCAAATGATAGAGCACCATCCTTGAATGAAAAGTTAAGGAACAATGTCCAGGCCCTAAGTTTAAACCCCACTAAAAGAACCACCTCCAAAAACGTCTAGCTTTTTGTCTTGAATCCTAAGTGATCCTTAGAGATCCATATTCCTAAGTGATGTACAGTCTTAAGTATTTCGACTACATAGGAGGCAGGAAAAAATTAAGTCCACAGTGAAGAATGGTAGAAGCAGCATGCAAAGTGAGAGCTTCCTGCCCTCTGGTAGCTGACAGTCTAGCTGAGGAGACAGACCACAAACTGAAAGCCCAGTGAAAGCTGCAAAAGAAAATGGTTCTAAATGTCTTCACAGTCCAGCTTCCTTCTCCCCACCAAAATAATAATAACAGTAATAGCAGTGACAACTGCCAACTGTTGTGGAAGGATTCGGGGCTCCAGCATCTTGTTTTGAAGACTTCTAAGGACTAAGTAAAAGATACTTCCAAGGGGCCTTACCTGAGAAGCAGCTACCCTCCATCCTCAGTTCCTTCTTCTTCACCATCCCTAACCTTCAAACTTCTCTGAGAAAAGAGAATATTGAGCTATACTATGCAAGAATTAATGGAACTTTGGTAAGCTTATTAGGGCTCAGAATTCTGGAATTGAAAACCAAATGCACATTCGTTCCACTGGAGGATGGCAGGATTTGGGGAAGTGCAAAGGTAGCAAGGGGACCCAGGCCTTTGCTACCAGTGCCATAGCCACTGCAGCTGTACTCTACACACCATCTCTAGACCTTATCATCTCCTTTGCCTTTAACTTATCCACTGTTCCTGCTGAGACGCATGTCAGGTGGTCAGTCATCCATTGGGAGGACATAGAATAGGAATACACTCAGGTAGTCATACATATTTTGGAGCTGTACTATGGCTTGTACTCAGGGCCTTGTGCTTGCTTGATTTGTTTGCTCACAGCTGGTGTTCTACCTCTTGAGCCATGCCTCCAGCCCTACTTTTTTGTCAGTCATGGGGCTTGAACTCTGGGCCTGGGCGCTATCCCTCAGCTCTTCAGCTCAAAGCAAAAGCAAGCGCCCTACCACTTGAGCCACAGTGCCACTTCCAGTTTTCTGGTAGTTTATTGGAGATAAGAGTCTCATGGACTTTTCCTGCCCAGGCTGGCTTTGAACTGTGATCCTCAAATCTCAGCCTCCTTAGATAGCTAGGATTATAGGCAGGAGCCACCAGCGCCTGGCCAGCCCTACTTTTTGATGGTTATTTTGGAGATGGAGTCTCACAGATTTTCTATGAACTCTCAACTTCCAGAGTAGCTAGGCTCACGGATGCCTGGTGTCAATTCTATTTTAATTAAAGTTCTTAGCATAAATTGTTCTATGAACCTTAGCCATTTGTGAAATAGGAAATCTGAGTCATATGTAATGTCAACATAGAAATTTGCATACAGAAATCTTAATTAAAATAGAATCAAACAGCACTAGAGCATTAGACAATGAGATGCCCTAAATAACAAAATCATTCTAGAGAATGGTTTTAGGAGCAAGTACAGGAACAAAACAAAAAAGTGGGGGGAATTTTTTAATGTATGGAGCAAAACTGTAAGTCAGAAAGAGCAACTAAATGATTGTATTCCAATCTTCAGTTTCTTGGACTTCTTTACAAGAGGAAATATTTCTGTTTGCTAGGGCAAGGCTAATACAGATTTGTCACTATCTGTATCAATGAAGAGGCTCTTGTCATTTGTTCTGCCCATTAGCAATATGGGTAATTTTTCTGGCTGACAGCTCTACAATACGACCATTTCTGCTTTTATGGATAGATATGATAGAATCAAAAGGCACTCTTACAAATCTGTCATATGGAGAAAGAGAGATGTTGCATTCCAATTGCTACATGTCCTGATAATTTGAAACCCATAACAATAAAATAAACATGCAACTGATACAGCCACTCAACTGTTGAAAGCTGTTGGAAGCTTCTTAAAGGTTGAAGACCAAAAAAAAAACAAAAATGGCATTGTCTCTTCCTTTAAGCCTTAAAAGTAAATATCCTCAAAGAGAACAAAGTCACCTAAAGTGGTGTAAAATGTCTCCCAAGTTTAGTTTGTATGAGCACCTACAGTATGGACCAGGTACAGAGGTACCAGGTACAAGCAGGATAAAGCAAATCTCATTTCTTCCACTGAGGAGGAGGCACATAGGTGGGACCACTCATCATTAACTACCACCTCCTCTCCCTTCTTTCCCTCTTCCTCCTCCTGTTCCTCTTCTTTTCTGAGCCAACTTCCTTGGTTTGTCTTCACTGACAATATTAATAAATAGTAAAATGACCAAAGAGAGAGCCCCCCAATGGAAGAAGTGAATGACTAGATAATTAGTGCCAGAGTAATTTAGAATTAATGGAAATCCAATTACAGTGATCCAAAAAGTAACAGATGCCATACTGTCATTTAGTCCTTAAAGCTACATCATGTAGCTTTTTAAAAAAAGTAAACTCATTATTTTGTATTATAAATACTCATTAATGGTTGGATAAACATGTGATACAGACAACAGCTGAATCCAGTGGGCTATCAATATAACAAGTGCTGAATGAACAGTTGAATGATAAATAACCTTCCCAGGGGGAGCGCTGGGATTTTATTGCTTTCTTCCATTAGCCTGCATGCAGGTAAATGTAAATTCACAGGCTTCCCAAACCCTGTTCCTGTGCTACTTACCAATTGAAGAGACACTCCTCATGCCTCTCATGAACAAAATGGAGTAACCCTTGTTTTTAAAATGGGATGGAAGTCAGCTGTTCTTGCAAAGTTGTAGCCTTAGATGGGTGGCGTTATGACCGCTCCTTTCCCTTCCCTGACATTCACTGCCCCACAGTCACTATCTTCTCCAAAATCTTGCTTCATAAAACCAAAATCTGTAAGAATTTAGATCAGTGAGTTACAGCAGCTGATTCGACTCAAAGCTAGGGACTGGTCTTATTTGTGCAGCGCCAGGAGCTGTAAATTACTTGGTGTCATAATTAGTGACAGGGGAGTTCTTGGTTGGAGAAAATTGAAAGAAGTGGGTTGTGAAGCCACAGGACACAAGTCCTGAATTTGCAGTGAATTCAGTGCTTGCTGGAAAGCCAGGCTTCTGGTTCCCGCCAGCCATACTGCCATGGAGGAAGCCAACAAACCTGGGTGCCAGCCCTGCCTGCTGCTCACTGAAGGAAGTGCTGTCTCTTGCCCGTATTTCATATGGAAGAGTCAGTCACGGCCAGTGCAGCCAGCCAACCCACCGAACGCCCCATCTGTCCCCATGGCACAAATAATGAGAGTTCAGCTACCCAAACCTCCCCAGCATTGAGAAAGACTCCCTCAGCCCCCAGCACAGAAGGCCAGGAGCATATGAAATGTGGCTGGGAGGAAAGAACAGGGACTTGACATTTGTAATGTAATTATGCACAGCAGTCTTGTGGCTAAAAGGATTTTAATTTTATAGAGGATGGGAAGATTCCCATATGTAAAAGGTCGGATCTCTCCCAGCATGATTTAATCAAAGGAAACCAACTGACATCTTGAGTAGGCAGTATTTCAGCCAGGCAGGGTGCTCCCCAGGATTTACCTTGGACCTGAGGGAGAACTTTCCCAAGTCACTTACGGAGCTGACACACTTCCTTTGTTTCCTGAAAGCACCTGATAAACCTGTATTGCTCATAGGGAAATATTTTCACTAT